CCCCCCCCCCCTCCGGCACGATTAATTGATCTTTTTCATTGATGTTTCAAAACGAATGAGAAGGGGGCGGCAAAGACAGGTGGCCCATGGGCGGCAAGTAGGTAAATCCGGCCCTGCTGGAACGCGGACGGTATATCTATATAACCCGTAAGTACGGCTTCCACGGCCGGAGTTTTTTTTCCAGCGTGTGCACCGCACGCCCAGCATACCCCCTTTTGCCGGGGCCTGCCAATGACACGCCACGGCTGAGCTGCCGTGCTAAGGAAGAACGCCGTATGAACCTTCAGGTGTTGCCAAATTTCCTTTGATAAAACTCGAATTTCCTTGTGATCTTATGAATATTTTTCTCCCAATTTTTCAGATTATTTTGTTTGCAATCTCACCTAAAGATCCTGAAAATTTCGAAGAAAAATACTCTTACATACATTAAGTCGCTTTCACAGCGCAGCCTCGCGCTCTGCGACGCCCAATCGCCATTGCCCCCTATCCTCCCAGAGATCACCAAGCATTTGGCACCTTCTGATCTCCTTCTTCACTCCTTGTCGCCAACTTTTCACAGGACGTCCACGCCGTCGACTTCCGGGAGGCAACCAATCGAAAACCTGCTTGGGCAACCGAGCGCCTGCCATCCTTCGCACATGTCCATACCAGAGACCAGACCAACTGCTTGGTCCTGATATCGTGCACGATGCCCTTCTCCGAAAACTTTCATAACTATATACTGCCGTGTAAAGGAAAAACGGCGCATGAACCCTCAGGCGTTGCAAAATTTCCTTTGATAAAACACGGATTTCCTGGTAAACATATGAATATTTTTCTTCCATTTTTTCAGATAATTTTGTTCGCAATTTCAACTACAGTCCCTGAAAATTTCAAGGAAAAATATCCATAACTTTCCTCAAAAATAAACTTTGTATCGAAAGAGATTTGGCAACTCCCGAATGTTCATACGGCGTTATTCCTTAGCACGGCAGTATACTTAACCACTTTTAACTACTATAACTACTTTTTCATAACTCATGAATTCATAACTTTCTTCAAAAATAAGTATTTTATTGAAGGAAATTTGGCAACTCTCGAAAGTTCATACGGCGTTATTCCTTAGCACGGCAGTATACTTAAACACTTTTAACCACTATAACTACTTTTTCATAACTCATAAATTCATAACTTTCCTTAAAAATGAGTATTTCATCGAAGGAAATTTGGCAACTCTCGAAAGTTCATACGGCGTTCTTCCTGGCAGTGAGAGCTTTCGCGGGCGCGACCGGCAACGGAGCGCGGGAGCTCCACAGGTGTCGGCCCTGTCAGGGCGAACGTCAGGCGGGGGGTGGGATGGGGGGTGCTGATCTTCGGGCCCGGCAGGAGGAGATCGGAGGGCTGACAGCGCATTCCGACCCGGTGGCGGGCGCGGGAACATACGTGCGGCCACGGGGAGCTCGAATTTGAGGGCTCAAATCGGGACGCGCTTCGGTCCCTTCAGTCAGCCGCCGGTCTCCACGCCGCGAGCATCCCTCCCGAGCCCTACCGAGCCCCGCTAGCTAGTCGTCCCTCCAACCCGATCCCAAACTCGCAACTCTCCGGGGCCAATTTTTCTAGTCACTTTTTTCTACCCCTTTTTTACGCCACCCGCCTCCGAGTGTAGTTCGCATTCCACGTGCGTTTTGTCGACATTGTTTCACGTTGTCTTTATTATTTACGATCCAGAATTATTCATGATTAGAAATTCTCTCCTAAGCTTTATTCCATACGTCATTTGACGCCAAGAGCTTTCCGTTGAGGAAGTTACTCGCATCTCTTTGACGAAATTTTACCTTCCCTGATCATTCGAATCTTAAATTTCGGGCTCTTCGTGACTAAAAATATGTTTTCATCATTTATTTTTTTACACCCCTTTATTTTCTTCGCTTTAAATGATCCTAGGCCTTCCAGCAAAGTGTAACTTACATTATTTGTGCGTTTTCCCGACGTATTTCAAAGGTCTCTAATTACTTACATCTCTAATTTCTAGTCATACGTAATTAGAACTGATTTTTTCATTCGAGCTTAAATTCTTTCCCAACCTTCTTTAACCCCTAACATAAACAAGAATTACTGAGGAGTTCCAAAAAATCTTCCTCCGTGCCATGCAAAGCATCGAAAGCTTATCATATGGGCACCTGTAACGCGATTACAATGTCACCTGGCAGTCTCAAGAATCATGCCAATAGGAATGAAGACAATTTCCCATCCCCAGTTCCTTGAATGACATTAAAACGGATTGCTAACTGGATGGAAACCAAGCAAATTAAAATAATAAACAGGAAATAATGTCGTTAAAGTAGCAAACTTGATTCACCTTCTGGTTCGCAGTTGAAACGAAATATGGAATTCAGCTGAAGCTGAAGCTTACAGTTTTGCGAGCCGCGTGCGATTTCGTTGAGGCCGTGTAACTGGCGAAGAAACGTAGAATATTCGAAGCTCGCGTAAGAAAAATGTGTTTCGAAGGATGAAACGCTAGAAATTCCTCTCCTCCGCGCTGCGAAAATGAGTGTAAAACCTGATTGAGTGGCTGAAGCGGAATTTAAGCGCGAAGTTTTTGAACTGATCACTCTCCTCGGTGTGTGCTTTTCGTGTTAAAATATCGGTGTTCTGTGTTAATGTTCTGAGTGTTCTGTGTTAAATGTGTCATACGTGTCGTGTCGAATTTCCCGTACACGGGTCGCTATGATTTCTTCTCACTGCAGCCTTGTCTCCTAACAATAACAGGTACGCACAACCACCGAATTCATGTATTTGTATTTTCTTCCATTGACGTGAGTGCTTGACGATGTTTTTTTTTTTTTTTTAAATATTGTGTGTTTGACGACGATCTTTTTAGGGGGACCGAATCAACGCGTTTTTAACCGTTTTGGGATTTTTTTTTAAAAACTTTTATTGATAACAAAGACTACATGGTATTAATTGTTTTTACAAGATCGCTGTATAGTTAAATGTACAGGGTAAGTAGATATGGTAATTGGTGAGTCTTAGGACTCAAGCTTATTTAAATAATTGATGTATCTATGTATAATTTTTACATTAATTATTAGTGAGAAAATCCAGATGGGAGATTTAGCGCTACCATCCTTAATCTTTTAAAACAACCAACGTTCTACTATCCGTCTACTACAACACGCATTTGGAATGTATTAAAATAGAAATAATTCAATTTTTAACTCTAACTTTATAATTACAAGTATTTAATACGGCTGATTTCTCCTGTCTATTTTTCAATGAATTAGACGAAGTCATTTCACAGAGAAGGGAAGAAACTCGCAATTCGTTCCGCCTTGGCCTCTCATAAGATCGCAACCGAATTCACGGAAGGGAACCAACTCGAACTGGATTTTCTCAGTTTAATCTAGGCAGAGATATAGTTTCGATCGTGTAAAAAAGTTCCTTCAATTACACCGCTATGCTAAACGCCCGACATGGCAACACGAATAGTCGTATTATTGTTTTGATGAATACGTCGCTTGATTCTATACTAAAATGCACAAATTTAATCCCGCGTTTGCCTGAAAATCGAGGTTTTTCAATGAGATAAAATAATATCAGTAACTCGCATTGTTTGTATTATTTTTTTTTATTTTTTTGGTAGTTCGCAGAATAAAAAATTCAAATTGTGTTAAAAATGAAGGGTTTGAGTTTATTTTTGAGCATGTATCTGGATGTAGAATTAAACCACGAGCGCTTTCAAACATTTTTTTAAATTTACACGTAAAGTCGGGAAAATAAGAAAAATTGTGACGGCCGATTCGCTTTTCAGAAATTTTGCTGATATTTTACTCCCTTCCCCAATTTGACACTACTACTAGTCTATTGCCAGGCAAGTGACAGCGGTGCGCAGATAACAGACAATTGACATTTTGGAGGTTCAACATTGACGTGCCAATTTTTTGACGTCGTAATATACCATTTTCAGCCAGTATGATTTACTTATTTTAAATAATTTTCATTGTCATATAGGGGTTCGCCCCCTGACCGCTTCGCGGTCCCACTTCTCGAAGCGTTCCGCACCTCAGGCGTTGTTGGTTACTCTTATGACTTAACATTATAGAGTAAGATATGAGTTTTGGATTTCACGAGTGTTTCTTATAATTCTTCCACAAAAATTAATCTTTTTTACAGAGAAGTAGTAAAATTCCGTCATTTCTCATATGATTTTGTGTGTTTCTTACCATTAGAGAGGGTTGCGTATCGCCAGTACGGACCATTCTCCCTTGTAACGCAGCGTACTGCCGTGCTAAGGAAAAACGCCGTATGAACCTTCAGGCGTTGCCAAATTTTCTCCAATAAAACAATAATTTCCTGGTAAACCTATGAAGATTTTTCTTCTCTTTTTTCAGATAATTTTGTTCCCAATTTTATCTACAGTTCTAGGAAATTTCGAGGCGAAATCCTCATAACTTTCCTCAAAAATAAATATATATCTGGAGGAAATTTGGCAACTCTCGAATGTTCATACGGCGTTTTTCCTTAGCACGGCAGCGGAGCCCGGGCTCATAACACCTCCCCTTTACAGCGGTACGTAATTTATGAACGCCTCAAGTGAATTGGTCGATCGAGATGGAACACCCACCTCCGGCTCATATGATCGATTTTTTTTTCATCTTCTTTTTCCCCCATTTTTTTGCAGAATGCATAAAAAGAAAGCGATGCATAGATAGATATAGAATGGTCCATTTTCTTTTTATCTATCCGAACGAACAATAAATCGCATGAGCTAGTGCGTGCACTTAGTGGGCTTCAAATTGGGATTGAGTGACGCATATTGTTCCCTCTCGTTTAAGTAACGTGTCTGGATGAAACGTTTCGTGAAAAGGGCAGAGGGCAGGTTTAGGGAAAAGAAGTCAGTCTAGTCTAATACAATACGTCACTCTTTGTACACAATGACGTAACTAAAATTGCACGTGAGTCCCAAGATGCACGGAGTTTTATAGGCGACAAGGCCCACCTTCAAAAATAGAGAGTCCCTTACATGAACGGAGCGAGGAATAGTCACAGCTCAAAGGACAAAAAGCAGCAACACAAAAAGCTCAGATGTCAGAAAGCAACACTTTATTCACAATGAGACCTCTTGAATCTCGACACTTCACAATGCTCATATGACTCTCGACTGCTAGACTGCTCCGATTCCGACGACAAAAATGACTTCTTATTCAGCTAACTGCTCCTAACTTCAAATCCGTGCAGCCTTGTTCAAAGAGATTAAAATAAATGTGTAGGTACCTCGCAGCGAACTACAATTTTGGTTAATTATTTCGGTTTTTTAAGAGATTTAAAAGCTCTCGCAATTTCTCGTGACATGCCTATCTTAAGCCTCTATTAGGTATGCAGAGTCTGAATATTTTTTTCTAGCTGCTTTCTTTTTGTCTTGCGCCAAATTAAATTTTTTTATGTTCCATAATTACAAACTTCCTTTTTTTTACTATGTTTCACCAACAGTCAACGTTTCAACTTTTAAAAAAACCAACCGTTTTGCAAGAGGATTTTCTTTCGTCAAAATTAATTTACGGTTTTTTCGTGTTTCACCATCGGGGCATACACATTTTGCAGCGCTTATTACCGCGATTGCTGTTTTTTTTTTTTTTTTTTTTTTTTTTTTTTTTTTTTATTTGCACGTAAGGTATTTGTACAAAATACACTTTTAGACTTCAGAAAAAGTCTCTGAAAAGCTTATTCCGATTGCTGCTGCAAAAAGCTCAGAAAATTGCATTCTTTAGTCACCATTACCAAAATGATAGGATTCAGTTTTTGGATACAATCTGAATTATGCGATATATCGAGTAAACAGATAAGAGTGCAAAAAATATCTCGGTCAGAGGCATATTTCAAAACGTCTGGATAGCGCGTTTGAAATTAGCCAAAATTCCTTGAATGAAGTCGCTCAATCCTAGTAACAATAAGTCAATTTTTGAATCGTTTTCAAACAACCCTGACGAATAATCCCTATCTTATCAATGTTATTAATCGATAAAGGTCATTCGATAATAATTCAACAATCGATCCACAGCACTATATAGTGGAGAGCCTCTTGCTGCACGAAACCTCTCGGTAATAAAAAATACTGTGAACGCAGCATATTAATCACCTTCAAATCGCCACCTTCCCATCAAAAAAGCATAACTACACTTCGCAGTGAACCCTGGTTTCCGTGTAATTCAATACTTCCGCGGGCCCATCTCAAAATATAGTCACGTTCGTTCGTTAGCCGAGCGATGGAATGAAGCAGTAAAAATTTCTCATTCGAATTCTCGTAGCATTCAACCGCGCTGGTTGCAACAATGTGAATGGGTAGACTTTATTTATGTGATAATCACTCGTTCTCTGAGGCCGTTTTATTGCCTACAATTCCAAACAATGGTAAAATTTCATTCCTTTGCATACTGTGAGGATTTTTATTTGACTTGTTCCCCTCGAATCAGCTTTTAACCCTCTACTGCCCTCTGATAATTTATTTGAACTGGCGTTACGATGCAAATCAAGGGGCATTCTTACATCATGCGGAACTTCGATAAAGTTTCTCTTGGCCTGCTCACCCTCAATATTCGAAATTTTTCTGGCCTTCAGCTCTCTGCTCACCTCTTTGAAACTGTTTTTCGAGTTTTAATTTATTTCCCCATCACATCAATGATTTCATTAGTTTTTTGAGACGTACTTTTCCCCGGTAGGGGGGGGGCGAGAGGAGGTGGGTAAGAGGGAACGTTGCGTATAATATTTATAGAGTCCAGTTCACAGATCAGTTGGTTTTTTTCTAAACTTTTAACCGCCTATTCCAGTAAATAGATTCGTCATGATAATATATTCAGGCGCTCAATAGAAGTATTATTTTTCGATCCAGAGATGTGCTGTCTTCCTGAGAAAAAAATTAGTCGAACCCAAGACCTGATCATTTAATAACTCCGTGCATTCAGGAATTGAAGAGCGGTGTGTTCAAGTGCATTCAAGATAGCAAGTTCTAAATTAATTTGAAGGATCTCCCGCGAAAACCGTAGTCGCACTCTCTCAAAGCGCCTTCTTTTACGCGCGATACTTCTCCACTCAACAGGTGTTAAAATATTTCTTTCGAAACCAAGATCGTACTTGAGTCCAGCACGAACTTTGAAAGAGGACGGTGGACATATTTAACATTACTTGAACCAGTTAACTAATGAAACTTTTTTTAGTAACTTGTGTTGATTTTTTTGGCCTGAAATCCCTTTTCTATGAGAAAATGTTACAAGAGTTTAAATCACTACACAAGTTGTTGAGTATGTAAAATTTAAAATTTTAAAAATTTACAAAAATTTAAAAACTTTTAAAACAAACTTTAAAATCGCTCACTTGCATAAACTTTTTCAATTTTTGAAGCGGGCGCGTTTTGGATCGAGATCATCTGATTGACCAGTCGCGCCGAGGATGGAGGTCAGGAACACCTCCGAAACGCGTCCGCTTCAAAAATTGAAAAATTTTATGCAAGTGAATGATTTTAAAGTTTGTTTTAAAAGTTTTTAAATTTTTGTAAATTTTTAAAATTTTTATATTTTACATACCCTTTTCTATGCTTTGAACGATTGGAATTCAAGGGTTCGTGACCTGTAAAATGGGATGTATTTTGCAGAATTTTTAGGTCTAATTTTTTCTAATCATATGCTGCATGAATATCCATAAACTTTTACTAAAATTAGTATTTACAGAATGATTTTTAAAAATTTTGATACGAAAATCTTTAGTAATCATTTAAA